TAGAGCTGGCTGGAGTTGGCTATTTCCCTTCTCCCAGGTCAGACAGGCTCTAATAAAACCCCAATAGTTTAGCCTCTGGTAAAATAGTTTCTCTTGAGGACAGGACTTGCTAAGACAAACAGTACTCTGATATATTTCAAAATGGTACATTTTCCCCTCCCTCTACCAGAAGCATGAGGGGATTTTTCCCTTCTAGTCACTTGAAAGCCTGGTTGAGCCTCTAGTGTTCAACTCACCAAGGTGTGAGGGCCTCCCATGACTGGGTCCCCTGGACTTTTAAACTCTCAGACTTGTACACACTTGGACTCCAGAAATTTGTCAATGACTATTTAGGTGTTTGTGCCCTGGCACTGGTTTCTGTGGAGATTTTTTCTTACGAATTTCTATTCCACTGGGTAATTTCTATTCCACTAAGTATTCACCTGCCTGCCTCTTCACTTTTAAAACAATGGTTTGCCCTGCGATCTCATTTCTCTGACAAATTTAAAAAGAGTTGTTGATTTTTCAGTTTGTTCAGATTTTTGGTTATTGTTAGGATGGAGTGGTGACTCTTTCTTTCTTTCTTTCTTCCTTCCTTCCTTCCTTCCTTCCTTCCTTCCTTCCTTCCTTCCTTCCTTCCTTCTTTCTTTCTTTCTTTCGTTCTTTCTTTCTTTCTTTCTTTCGAGTTGGAGTCTCACTCCATCACCCAGACTGGAGTACTGTGGCATGCTCACAGCCACCCCAGCGTCAATCTGCTGGGCTCAGGCAATTCTTCCACCTCAGCCTTTCAAGTAACTGGAAATATAGGCATATACTACCACTCCCAGCTAATTTTTTCATTTATTGTAGAGACGAGGTCTCACCAAGTTTGCCCAGGTTGTTCTCAAACACATGGGTTCAGGCAATCCTCTCACCTCAGCCTCCCAAAGTACTAGGATTGCAGGTTTCAGCCACCATGCCCAGGCTACTTTCAAGTTTCTTGTATGCTGGACTAGAGAGCAGAAATCACTACTGTCTACTGTCTAATTTTAGGGTATTTTTATCACTCCAAATGAAAATGAAACCCCTCTTTTTTTTCCTCCTTGCTTATCAGTTTTGGAAGTTTCTACTGCCATATCATTAGACTCATAGATTCTTTCCTTAGCCATGTCTAGCCTACTAATGAGACCATCAAAAGTATTCATTTCTGTTACAGTGTTTCTTATATCGATCATTTCTTTTTAATTTTTTTCTTAGCATTTCTATCTCTTTATGCTTACATTGTCCATCTGTTCTTGCAGATTGTCTACTTTTTTCATTAGACACCTTAGCATATTTATCATGGTGGTTCTAAATTCCTGTTCTCATAATTCTGACTTCTCTGCCATATCTGAGCCTGGATCTGATGCTTGCTCTATTTCTTTAAACTGTGTTTTCTGCTTTTCAGTATGCCTTGTAATTTTTTTGTTGTAAGCTGGACATAATGTACTGGGTGAAAGGAAATCTAGTAAATAGGCCTTTAGTAATTGGTGGTAAGGATTGGGAGAGAAAAGTATTCTATAGTACTGTGATTAGGTCTCAGTCTTTGAATGAACCTATTACCTTGGCTGTGATCTTCACAAATGCCTCTCAGTTTTTTCCTGCTTTTGGTGGGGTAGGACAGTTGGAGAAGACTGGAGTCTGGTATTACCCTTCTCCCATGTGGAAAGCTAGAGGGAGCTGCAGTTGGTTATTTTCCCTTCTTTATGTGGAAGGCTAGCATAGGCTGGAATTGGGTATACCCTTTTCCATAAGTTGGCTAGGCTGTGATGGAATCTCAATAGGTTAGGATCTAGGAAAAAGTAATTCCTCTTGAGGACAATCCTTGTTAAGAAGTACAAAATGTTCTAGTGCATATCAAAATGGTTATTTTTTCCCCTTCCCTCTGCCCAAAGCCAGAAGTGATTTTCCCCCTCCCTGTTATTCAGTGTGAGAACCTGGTAGATCTCCAGGAGATAAAATTCACAAAAAAGTGGCCCCCCTATTTGAGTTCTTGATTCACAGACTGTCCACACTAATCCTCTAGCAATTCATTAGTTATGTTTTAGGTTTTCCAATCCTGGTATAGAGGTTTCCAATCATGGGTTTCCATTCATGGGTTTCTGTTCTGGTACGTTGTGGTTTTCTCATCTGTTTTGCCTCTGTTCAGTTGTTTGTCTCTTCAATTTGAGGGCACAGTAATGTTCTTTGTGGCCTCACTTGTCAAACAAATCTGAGGGTTTTTTTTCAGTTTGTTAGATTTTTACTTGTTTTATAACAGTGATACCTTTCAAGCATCTTACATGTCATACGAGAAACCAGATGTCTCCTTTTACTTTTACCATATCTGTGTTTTTATATGTATAGTGTTTCTTGTAAACAGCATATACTGAGTATTGCTTTTAATCCAGTCTGACAATCTCTGCCTTTTAAGTATTTGTCATTTACATTTAATGTAATTATTGGTGTGATTAGATTTAAATCTGTCACCTAGTTCCTTGGTTTTTATTGGGCCTATCTGTTCTTTGTCTCTTTTTCCTTTTGTGGGCCTTCTTTTGGATTAATGGAGTATTGATTTCTGTGATTTTATTTTATCTTTATTTTTGACTTATTAGCTATCTCTCTGTTTTATTTAGTAGTGCTTGTTCTTGGGCTTACAGTATGCATCCTTAGCTTATAATAGTCTACTTTCAAGTAATGTAAATAATATTAAACTACTTCATATGTAAGAAGGTTAAAAGAATATGTTTCCTTTTTTTTTTTTTTTGAATCTGATTCTCACTTTGTAGCCCAGGCTGGAGTGCAGTGGCACACTCATGGCCACTGCAGCTTCAACCTGCTGGGCTCAAGCAATCCTTCTGTCTCAGCCTTCCAAGTAGCTGGAACTACAGATGCGTGTTACCATGCCTGGCTTATTTTTTTAATTTTTTATTGTAGAGATGAGGTCTCATCAAGTTGCCTAGCCTGGTCTCAAAACCCTTGAGCTCAGACAATCATCTTGCCTCGGCCTTCCAAAGTACTAGGATTACAGGCTTGAGCCACCGCACCTGGCAAAAGAATATGTTTCAATTTTCCTCTCTCATCCTTTTGCTATTGCTGTCATACCTCTTACTTCTATATATGTTATGAACTCCACAATATATTGTTATTATTTTTGCTTTGAATAGTCAGTTATATTTTAAAGAAAAACAAAAAGAGAAAAACTAAATATTTACCACTTCCTTTATTCCTTTGTGTGGAAAAGATCTAACTATTTTGGTATATTTCTTCTATCTGAAGATATTTCTATTATTATTATTTTTTTGAGTTGGATTCTCACCCTGTCGCCCAGACTGGAGTGCAGTGGCACACTCACGGCCACTCTAGCGTCAACCTACTGGGCTCCGGCAATTCTTCCACCTCAGCTTTCCAAGTAGCTGGAACTACAGGTATGTGCTACCACGCCCAGTTAATTTTTGATTTATTGTAGAGGGGAGTTCTGGCCATATTGCCCGGGCTGGTCTCAAATCCGCAGGCTCAGGCAATTCACTCACCCCAGCCTCCCAAAGTGCTGGGATTACGGGCTGAGCCACCGAGCCTGGCCTGAAGACAGTTCTTTAACATTTATTATAGTGCACATCTACTAGCAGCACATTCTCTCAGCACTCTTTCCCTCTGAAAAAGTATGTATCTTCAATTTTTGAAGGACTACCACCCTACCACACACACATTGGATATGAATATCTAGGCTGACTTCTTTCCCCAGCACTTTAAACGATTTTCATGGTTGTAGATAAGATGTCTCTGGTAATTAAAAACAAAAACAAAAAAAACTTGGCTTCTTTATATGTCGTATATCTTTTTTCTCTGGCTGTTTTTAAGAATTTTCTTGCTTTTCTTTTCTTTCTTTCTTTCTTTCTCTTTTCTTCTTTCCTTCTTTCTTTCATCACTGGTTTCCAGCAACCTAATTATGAAGTTCTTAGCATGGTTTTGTGTTTATCATCCTTGGTGTTTGTTAAATTTTTGAGTCTGTGCTTTTATAGTGTTCACAAAATTCGAATTTTTTAACCATTATTTTTTCAGATTATTTTCTGCTTTCTCTCTTCCCATCTTCCCCCTCCCCCATTCTGAGAATACAATTATGTAAATCAGCTGTCAATGGCATTAATGACTTGTTTCATTTCAGGCATTGTATTTCTCATTTCCAGTAGCTTCATTTGATTCCTTTTTTTTTTAGTTGGAGTCTCACTCTGTTGCCCAGAGTGGAGTGCAGTGGCCGCTCCTGGCCACCGCAG